GCGGCCGCGTCGGTCGCGCCACACTAGCTGGCCGCCGCGCGCGCGAGCATTCGCGGTCTAGCGCGGCCGCAAAGATCGCCAGCCAACGCCAAGCATTCATCGCAATCGCCGCCGCGTGGGCTTATGCAAACCAAGCTGCGGGTGGGTGGGTGGGTTGGTTGCGTGGGCAATGGAGTTTTGCAACTCGCGGCGAGCAGGGATTTCTCGCATAAGATAGACTGCGCCACAAAAGGTTGCGCCACGTCAGTTGCAACACATGGATGGCACCATTGAGATTGCACAGCTTAGGTTGCACTACCCATATTGCACTACGTCGACTGCACCGCATGCGTTGCGCACCACAGAAATTGCACCACATCTATTGCACCACGCGTATTGCACAGCACAGAGTGCACCACGTTAACTGCATCGCGTAGCTTGCACTCTATAGATTGCGCCACGTACATTGCACCGCGTCGATTGCACCGCATCTGTTGCACAACGGAGATCTCGCCGCGAGATTTCCACCACGTCGATTGCACCACAAAAAAGTGCGCATCGCATCGGTTTCCTGTTAAGTATCCATGGCATCTTCCACACCCTCCGAGTTTTTTGTTTCCCCTGGGATGGTACAATTTACATGTGACATTGCCCCGTGGTTGATGTCACCTCTGACTTCATACACTCCCAGCAGCAACCGTTATAGCCTCTCATCCCCGTCAAATAGTACTACGTGGTTTGCATTCGTCTATCGACCATTCGCAGTTTCCAATAATGCCTTGCCAACAATATGTTTAACGTCGACACGCGTGCGCTGTCGCACTTGCATGCCGACGTTCTTGAGAATCCCGAGGTGCCGCAAGGAGTCCAAGATCGAAACTCCCAAGAGCAAGTGGCAACACATTTTTTGTTCAACATGGAGGTTCAAACAAAACTGAGCGCGCGCACTTTTGCGAATTCCTAACGCTACCATGAGTACTGCAAGCTTCCCATGGCGCGGGACCGTGCGGACCCTGCGCGCGCGCATGTCGGAACCATTCGAACGCCCTTGCGCGTTTATTGGGGGGGGTGGGAAGGGGGGGCATCCCTGTCAAATGACACCGTGCGGGCCACCCGCGCGCGTCGGCCGCGCGCGTGCCGAAATCCTTCCTCAAACCACATCACCGACACGTGGACACCATCGTCGATGCCGGCGTGACCAGCATCGGCGCCGTCATTGGCCTTGCCGTCGTCATCGTCATCATCGTCACCATCATCGCTGCCACCATCATCGTTTTTGCCGTTGCCGACGTCGCCATGATACCGCGCCTGTACGAGTCACAGACTCGCGCGGAGATGCCCGCGCGTCATCTCGGCCTGCGAGACGCGTTGGGGAGTCCCCAGCGACAAGGGCCACCGCGGCCGCGTCAGTCGCGCCAAACTGATTGGTCGCGCAGACTGCGCGCGAGCCTGCGCGCGGTATCGCTGCCGCCGCCGCATGGGTTTTGCAAGCCCCGCTGCGGGTTGGTGGGTGCATGATTGCACGAGCAGTGGAATTGACAATCTCAATTGAATTGCACTTTGTATGTTGTACCATAGATACTGCACAACATCCGCTTCATAACACCGCACAGCGGTTGCGCAACATAGGTTCAACCATATCGGCTGTTCAAAAATTGCACACCATAGGTTGGAATGGCTCTCTCTCTCTGTCCCTCTTTCTCTTTATATACATGTATATAGACATAGGTATAACCATCCACGTGTATACGGCTCAGCAGGGATTCCACGCTGTAGATTGCGCCATCTGCGCTGCATCACGCAGCGAGCCCCGCATAGATTGCATTCCATTGATTGCGCCACGTATAGTGCACACCGTATATTGTACGTCGCAGACTTTTCCACGATTTTACCACATAGGGTGCGCACCACATGGATTGCACCACGTGGGTCGCAACACTTAGATTGCACGACCTAAATTGCACACCACATATAGCACTACACCTATTGCACCACATATATTGCAACATATTGGCTGCCCCACACACGTTGCGCAACATACATGGCACCGCGTAGGCGGGGCACCGTAGATGACGCATCATATATCGCACCAAGCACATTGCCCCACATACGTTGCACCATATAGATGGTAACTTATAGATCCCCCCCACCCGTGGCACAACATATACGGCTCTGCGTATATGGGACACCATCGGATACGCACATCTATTGCATCACGCAGATCGTACCACATACATTGCCCCACATATATTGCGCCACATGTATTGCTATATGTACGTTGTCTGGGGCTCACGCTGGCTAGCACACAGTTGAATTCATGTACACACATGTAGACACACCTTTTTTATCTATATGTTTGATTTCCTTTATTTATTTGTTTTTATACATATAGGGAGGGAGGGAGGTACATCTGTGCAATTTATTGCATATCTGTATTCCTCATGCATTTTGGAACAACAAGGGGTCGATCTATCTATGGATAGAGAGAGGGAGAGAGAGAGAGATAGTCAGAGCGAGTGATGTATAGCTATGTAGACCACAACATGGGATTACGACCATATTCGTATATGCGTGTATATGTAAGCACCACGAGAGAGAGAGAGAGAGAGAGAGATACACATCCATGGAGAGAGAGAGAGAGAGAGAGAGGGAGAGTGAGATACAGAGAGAGAGAGAGACAGAGAGAGAGGAAGAGAAAGAGAAAGAGAGAGAGAGAGATAGGTACACACATGGAAGAGAGAAATATAGGATGACGAGGATAAGGAGAAGGTGGTGGACGCTCATCGCCCCCCCTGGAGGTTGGCAATTGGCCCGGGGTGCATGCGGAAAGACATATATTGAACACCCGCCTGAGATGCCTCCACGCATCCACACAAGACCAGTTCATCATCCATCAGCTGTCCAATTCTCCAACCTGCCTGATGTGCATGGATAGATCATCGCTTCGCGCGGAACGCCCCAGGAGCGGCCGTGGGCGCCCAAGAGCTTCTTGAAATCAGGAATCTGGGGCCTTGAACGAATTGTCGATGCTCGGGGGCCTGATGGTTCTCCTCGCAGAGCTTGCAGTCCTCTTCTGCTACTGCGGATCGTGAGAGTTGGGGGTGTGTAAGCTGGCCGGGTCGCCCTTCCCCTGCTGCTCCGCCTGCTCCGTCGGCTCCGCCTCCTCCTCCCCCCTCTGCTGCTCCGTCTCCTCTGCGGGTGCCCCGCCTGCTCAGGCGGACGGGCCCTCCCCGGCTGGTCCTGGTGCCGCCGACGGAAGTGATCTGACGGCTTGGCCATTGGCTGTCCAGTGTCATGGGTCCCACGTCGTTGAGCAATTGAACTGCGTGCTGTGCTGTTCCTTTTGTGGGAGCTCTGCGGTAGGCACCATGCGCTGCATATGACGGCTCCGTGGGCCCTGCAAGCAGCCCCCGCGGAAGGGGTTAGAGGCACTGAGGGCCTCGCCCGTGGGCTCGTGCCAAGGTTGTTTGTTGTTTTTGTTTTTTCCCTACCTAGGCTCTGCCTAGAAGGGTTCTTGCTCTCTGGGCATAAAGGGGCCGGGCAGTGGAAAGCGCCCCGGGCGGTTTCCCCAGTATCCGCCCCGCGGTTCCCCCAGTTACGTCCCCTTAGCTTAGCGTTGCTTATCTCATCTTAGCTTAGCCTAGCTTAACTTAGCTGAGCTTAGCGTAGCTTAGCTTAACTTAGCCTAGCTTAGCTTAGCTCAGCTTAGTTCAGCTTAGCTTAGCTTAGCGCAGCACAGCATTAGCATAGCAATTCATAGCATATCATACCATATCATATCATATCATAGCATAGCGCATCTTAGCATAGCGCAGCATATCATAGCACATCATATCATAGCATATCATAGCATAGCGCAGCATATCATAGCATATCATGGCATATCATTTCTTAGCTTAGCATAGCACAGCTCAGCATATCATATCATATCATATCATATCATAGCATAGCATAGCATAGCGCAGCATATCATAGCATACCATATCATATCATAGCATAACATATCGCAACAAATCATAAACACCATATCATATCATAGCATAGCGCAGCATGTCATAGCATATCATAGCATAGCGTAGCATAGCATACCATAACATATCCTAGCATATCATAGCATATACTTGCATAGCATAGCGCAGCATAGCATAGCACAGCAGAGCGCAGCATAGCATAGCATAGCATAGCCTAGCATAACACAGCGCAGCCTAGCATACCCTAGCATAGCATAGCATAGCATAGCATAGCGCAGCATTTCGCAGCATAGCATGGCATAGCATAACATAGCATAGCGCAGCATAGCTTAGCATAGCATAGCACAGCATAGCATCAAAGCCCAGGCAAAGCAACAGCAACAACAGAAAAGCAAGGCACAAGCAACGCAAAGCAAAGCAAAACAAAAGCAAAAACAAAAGCAAAGCAAAGGAAAGGCAAAGCAAAAACAATGTGCGACAGGTGCCGAGCTAGCCTCGATGGCCAGACCGGAGCTCCCGCAAGCAGTGCTGAACAGCCTGCAGCTCTTGCAGGAGCCGCGAGCAGTGTTGAACCTAGTGCAAGCAGTGCTGAACAGCCTGCAGCACTTTCAGGAGCCGCGAGCAGTGCTGAACACCCTGCTGTCGCTGGGTGCACAGCAAAGCAAGACAAAGCAAAGCGCAGCATAGCATAGCATAGCATAGCATAGCATAGCATAGCATAGCATAACATATCATAACATAGCATAGCATATCATAGCATAGCTTAGCTTAGCTTAGCATAGCATCGCACAGCGCAGCATAGCATAGCATAGCATATCATAACATAGCTTAGCATAGCATAGCATAGCATAGCGCAGCATAGCATAGCACATAGCGCAGCATAGCACAGCTCTTTCCTAGAGGCTCCAACTCCTAGTAGGGTCGCACTGGGATAATTTGTTTTTGTTGTTTTTTACCGCTATTTTGGCTCAGTGCGGCCCAGGCGCCGTGCAGCCTCGGCGCGCGCGGGGCGGTGCAAGATCATCCTCGCCGGAGCGCCGCCGCCTCGAGGCCATGCGCTGGACCGCGGCGCTGCTCGCGACGTGGGCCGTGAAGGTTGTGAGGGGAGGGCCGGTGAGCGAGAGCGAGGACGACGTCCAGAGCTCTGGTGCGTGCAAAGCCGCGATCGCCAGCTACTGCCCAAGAGTCCCCCCTGGCGGTGGCGCGCTTACGCACTGCCTGATCGGCGCCATCAAGAGGGATAGTGCTGTCAAGGGGCTGTCCGAGAGTCGCGGCGTCACGTCCGCGTGCAAGACGGAGATCAACGGCGCGATGGCCAGGGAAGTGAGGCGGAAGTCCCCGAGCGCACCCGCGCCGGGCCGCCTGGGCGATACGAAGCTCGGCCCCCCGAGGACGGGCCTGCCCGGCCTCCGGGGCCACGGGGGCCCCTCGGTGCCGCGGGCGCCCGCGCCGAAGCTCGCCCCCCCGGGAGCCCGCGCGCCGAGCCTCCCGGGCGGCAGGCCCGCGCCGATGCTCGCGGCCGCCTGCGGGCACGAGATGGCGAGCCTCTGCGCGGGGCTCGGCGGCTCGGCGGCCCTGCCCTGCCTCAGGGCGCACGAGGCTCCAGGCCTCCCAAAAGGAAAAGGGGGGCTCCCGAGCGCGCGTGGTCGCCGGGGGCTCGCGGCGCCTCGCCGAGGCGTTGGCGACGCGGCGCGATGCTCCGGCCCCCAGCTGCTCGGAGCCCACCTGCGCGGCGGACGGCACAACGGGGCCGTCTGCGCCGACCTGCGCGCGTGCGCTGCCCGCGTCAGGCCGCGCGTAAGCGCCCTCGCTTCCAAGGAGGCGTGCCGCGCCGGCGGCGCGCATAAGCCACCGCGTCAGGTCGCTGTGCCATCTCGCGTGAGGCCCGTTTTTGATCGTCGCTCGTCTGGGAGGCCCCCGAGAGGCCGAGCTGTCCCTGGGGTGCTCTCAGAAGCTCTTCCTCGTCCAGCCGCTGCGGGCGGGCGACGCGGCGCTCGCCCCCCGGGTGTTCGCGGCCTGCCAGGCGGACCTCCACGACGTAGCCGTGTGCGGCAGGGCGCCCCCCGCCATTCGGCGGCGAGCGAGGGGGGGAAGCGAGAAGGAGAAGGCCTTCCGGGCTTTTCAGAAGGCCTACGGCCTCATGATGATGCTGATGATGATGATGATGATGATGATGATGATGATGATGATGATGATGATGATGATGATGATGATGATGAGGATGATGATGATGATGATGATGATGATGATGATGATGCTGATGATGATGATGATGATGATGATGATGAGGAGGAGGAGGAGGAGGAGGAGGAGGAGAAGGTTTTGGGGGAGGCTCAGAAAACTTCTCAGAAGGTCGGGGGGCTTCCGAGCCTTCCGAGACGGCCCGCCCCTGCTCGTTGCCCCGCCGGGCCCGCCGCCGGCCCATGCGCGCAAAGTGCCTCGGGGCGAAGCAGCGGGACGCGCTCACCGAGAAGTGCAGGCTGGCCCTGGCCAAGCAGGAGCGGGGCAGCGCAAGGCTCGAGCGCGCGGGAGCTCGGGTGTGCCGACGCTCTCTTGCAGGGTCCGTCCTGCATGTGGAGGGTCCCGTGTTCGTGGGGTGTTTGCCGCGGGGGCTCGCGTCCAAAGTTTCGGACCGGGTCTCGCCGTTCTCGTGGCGGCCCCGTCAGGTCCACCCGAGTCCCCCGAACCCGAGTCTCACGCCTCCCCAGAAGGAGGCGGTGGGCTCGAAGGCAGTGGATGCCAGAGGAGGCAGGGGTCGACCTAAACCGTGTTTGGGAGATTTCGAGGGCCGTTTTCGTTTCGACCTCGCTTTAGAGCAAAGGCGGATTGGAGACGAAACGAGGGAGAACGAAAACGAAGCGAAAACGAGAAACACGGTTCAGGTCGATCCCTCACTCAGGAGGAGGAGGAGGAGCAGGGAGTCCCCCGGCGGCGGCGCGCCCAGCCGCGCACAGTGCTCCGACACTTGCGGTGCCGGGCCTGGACGTCGAGACCCTGCGCAGGTGCGGGGCGAGGATTCGAGCAGGGTATCGACTACAGAATTGGTCTACCCCAGACTTGCTCTTCCCGCCGGATCCGCGGAGAATTCGCAGAACTGTCGCGGAGCTACGGATCTTCTACGTGTCTGTGTTGAAGATTCGACGCGACAATCAGTCATGGGGTAAGTCAGTTATGTAGTCGATCCCCGACTCGAAGGATGAGGGAGCTCTGCCGCGGCCAGCCGCGGGAGGAGATGCCCTCTTGTCTCCGGCTGCACAGCAAGGATCTGCCCGCGGAGTGCAGCGCGCTGCCGGTGCCGCGCTAGCGCGCCGCTCGGAGCCGACGGGGCCACAGAGCCCAGCTTCAGGACTTGGCACAGGTGGGCATGGCCCGCGCAAAAAAGAGGAATAATGATAAGAATGATGATAATACGTCGGAAAGGAGGTTCCACATACTTGACTGTGGTAGGGTAGACAGACGGGCACCTGGGAGCCACGCGTGCGCTACAGCTCGGGAGGGAACAGCAACACACACAGACACAATTCATCGTCGACTCCCAGGAAAATATGGGAAGTGGGGGGGAAGACGAAAACCCAGAAGCATGGGAAATATGGGGGATCCTGGGATTTGTATATTTTTGTTGTGTGTCCCTGGGTCCCTTTGATAGTGCCTTAGCTCCTCCTTCGTGGGACTCTGGCTCTGCCCTTCGAGGACTGTTTGAAGCTCTGCAAGGCTGCATTTTGTCCCCTCGGGGTCAATCTACAACAGCCTAATCGGGGCCAGCTTGGAGCCATCTTGGGCCCCTCTGGGCTCTCGTGGGGCCGTCTCGGAGTTCCTTTGTGCATGCATTGTTGTTGCTGCGGCTGTTGATTTCTCATAATTGAAGAAACATTATTGTTGATCCCTTGTATTTTTTCAGTTGAAGTGCCCCTCCCAGCGCTCGCACCCGGTTTTTATCAGAGAAAGTCTTCCTGCTCAAACTGTGCCCCTGGCCCCCTGTTTACAACAACAACGGCTCCCGCTTGATACTTCATCGAAATTTGCTCCAGTCCCCCGCTCCCGCTTGAGACTTCCTAGCAATTTTCTCGAGAACCGCGCTCCCGCCTGAGACTTCCTCGCAATTTACTCAGGTGCCGCGCTCTTGCCATTCAGGAATCGCGCGTTCGCTGGGGACTTCTTCAAATTTACTCAGGAATCGCTCTCTCGCTGGAAACTTCCTGGCTAATCACGCAGATCTCACGAAGAATTGTTTACCCACCAAAAGTGGTATGATCGGAGACGAAGAGGGCGGGTATCGAGGGTTCGGGAAATGCGCACTGAATGACACTTGCGCAAATACGAGCGAACAGTCTTAACATGATTGTTGAATTCTCATTTCTGAAGAATAATTATTGTTGATCCCCCCCCACCGGTGCACATTTATTTTTTTGCAATTGCAGTGCCCCCCCCCCTGGGGCTCGCACTTTGTTTTTTGTCAAGGAAAGTCTTCCTGCTCAAACTGGCCCCCTGGCCCCCGGGTTACAACAACAACGGCTCCCGCCTGAGACTTCCTTACAATTTAGCCAGGACCCCCGCTCCCGCCCGAGACTTCCTCGCATGTTATTCAAGAATCGCGCTCTCGCTTGGGACCTCCTTACGATTTATTCAGGAATCGCTCCTCCTGCGCTTTGGAGTCGCGCTCTCGCTGGAGACTTGCTTGCAATTTACTCAAGAATAGCGCCCTTGCGTTGGAATTTCTGGCAATTTACCCAAGCGCCGCGCTCCCGACAACCAGGCACCCAGGAGTCGCGCTCACGCTTAGGACTCCTTCACAGATTACCTAGGAGTCGGGATCTCGCTGCCCTTCGTGGCCCCGTTGCAGCTCTTCGTGGCCCCCTCGCTTTGTTTCGTGGCCCCGTTGCAGCCCTTCGTGGCCCCCTCGCTTTGTTTCGTGGCCCCGTTGCAGCCCCTCGTGGCCTCCTCGTTGCCCTTACTGGCCCCGTTGCAGCCCTTCGTGGCCCCCTCGCTTTGTTTCGTGGCCCCGTTGCAGCCCCTCGTGGCCTCCTCGTTGCCCTTACTGGCCCCGTTGCAGCCCTTCGTGGCCCCCTCGCTTTGTTTCGTGGGCCCGTTGCATCCCTTCGTGGCCCCCTCGCTTTGTTTCGTGGCCCCGTTGCAGCCCTTCGTGGCCCCGTTGCAGCCCTTCGTGGCCCCCTCGCTGCCCTTCGTGGCCTCGTTGCAGCCCTTCGTGGCCCCCTCGCTTTGTTTCGTGGCCCCATATATTTATGCCCTTCGTGGCCCCCGCTCGTTCGCGCCCGTGGTGGCCCCATATGCATGCCCTTCGTGGCCCCGCTGTCGCCCTTATGGCCCCCTCGCTGCCCCTCGTGTCCCCGTTGCTGCCCTCAGTGGCCCCGTCCGTACCCTCCGCGGCCCAACATACGTATGCCCTTCGTGGCCCCCGCTCGTTCGCGCCCGTTGTGGCCCCATGTGCATGTCCTTCGTGGCCCCGCTGTCGCCGTTTGCGGCCCCCTCATTGTCCTACGTGGCCCAGGTGCTACCCTCAGTGGCCCCATCGTTGCCTTCGTGGCCCACGCTCGTTCGCGCTCTTCGTGGCCCCATACGCATTCCCTTCGTGTCCCCGCTGTCGCCCTTCGTGGCCTACTTCGTGTCCTTCGTGGCTCTGCTGTCGTTCTCTCTCGCTCTCGCTTTCGCTCGTCGTCGTCGTCGCCGTCGCCGTCGTTGCCGTCGTCGTCGACGTCGTCGTCGTCGTCGTCGTGGTCGGTCCCCTGTCCGTCCCTCTTGGGGTCAGGTCGACGGTCCGCGGCCGCCCCGCCGATCAGCGCTGCCGCTGGCCAGGCCGACGGTCCGCGGTCGCCCCGCCGCTTGCCAGGGCCCGGCCTGCAGGGAAGAAATGTATACCCCCCAAAAGGGGTTCGATCGAAGACGAAAAGGGCGGGTATCGAGGGTTTGGGAAATTCGCGTTATTCGACACTCGAGCAGATAAGGGCGAACAAACTTAAAATGATTGTTGTTGTTGGTGTTGTTGTTGTTGTTGTTGTTGTTGTTGTTGCTGTTGTTGTTGTTGGTTTTGCTGCGCATTGCGGGGCCGTCGTGGGCCTTCTTGGGGCCTTCCTGGGCTCCTTGACTTCCTCAGGCAACATTTTTTTGCCCTTTCATGGCGACGGGCATTGGAGGCTTAGCTGCCCCGATACGCTTGTTTTGCAGCGGAGCACGTGTCGTGTTCGAAACTATCGTGTTAAAGCGTTGCGTGATGGTTCAGGCATTTATCTTTACACATTAGAAAACTCGAACACGCAAAACCAGTTGCCTCCATCCCACTCGCCCACCCAGTAGATAACATCGCCCGCCGCCTCACCCACCCCCGTTGCAGCAGCGACTGTTGTTTAGCGCACAGGTATGCTGTTCGTACTTCGCGCAACGTATTTGCAATATGCGCAGGCATGTGCTTGTGGTATGCAGAGGCGCGTGGCGCGCGCAGGCTCTTGTGGCACCCGCACAGGCGCGGCGGCGCACTCACATTGGAAGAAACGAGCAGCTCGGTGTGCATAGGACACACGTTGGCTGCAGCGGCATTTATGATGCACACAGGCGTGGCATTGTTTTGCATTGTGGTATACGTTGGTACTGTTGTGCGCGCAGGCGACTGGGATAGGGCCGTGCCCGTGGCCAGAAAATCAATAATGACAAACAAGTTGAATATTATTTTTGATACGTTCGGGCCAGCCATGTTTTATTGAAGTCTGAATCCGTCAGACACCTGGAGGCGTACGCGGGCTTTGTGGTGTACGCGGGCACTGTGATGTGCATGCGTGCGGCGAACACAGGCACAAAGGTGCATTCGTACGCGGGCACAGGGGTGCGCAGAGTTTGTTCTTTCTCGTGGGCGGCTACGTGGTGAGCGATACTCTTGTGACTGTGGTGCGCCGCAACTTCTTGGAACAGTTCCTGTATTTCCATGGCGCCTGTGACCCCGCAGTGGCCAGTTTACTGGGAAGGATTTGCGGCCGGTGCCGCCGACCCTGGTCGCTAGGACGAGGGGGCATGGGGAGGAGAAGGACGAAGAGGAAAAGAAGGAGGAGGAGGAAGATCAGGAGGAGGAGGGGGAGGAGGAGGAGGAGGAGGAGGAGGAGAAGGAGGAAGAGGACGAGGAGGACGACGGGCAGATGCGGAGGGCAATGAAGGGAAGGGATGGATTTGAGCCTCTTGGTGCCCTCCTTGGGTTTATCTTCGACTTCTCAATGGGCTTCTTGGGTACCTTTTGGGGCCTCCTGGGGGCGTTTTGGGACGGAAGGCTCAAATTGTCCGTTGGTGGTCCCCCTCTTGGGACCCCCTTGGGCTCTCTTGGGAGTTTCTTCGGCCGTATTGGGGCCTCTTTTGAGCTGCGTCGGATTTTTTTGGGGGCTCTTGGGCCAGGGCTTCTTCGGACGAAACCGCGGCGCAAGTGAATTCGAGGCGCCAAAAGCCCTTCCCCTCTGGAGGGATATTCGTCGCCGCGGCCGCACGCAGTTCGACAAACTTGCCAGAGTTGTATCCAGGCGGCCCAAAAACAATAACCACAACGAAAATGCACATTCAATTTCATACGTTCGCGCCTCCCACGGCCACGAATTTCGGTTTGTGGGCATCGTCGTGACCTTCGAAATGTACGCGGGTTTTTTGGTGTACATATTCAGTGTGGCGCACGCAGGCGCCAGTCGCGGCGTTGCGCGCGGCTGCTCAGGTGTGCTCGCGGATCGTTTTCTACACAGGCGCTGTGGTGCACGCGCGACGTGCTTGTGTGGCCGCAGCTGTGTTGTGCAAAGTTGTGGCGTGCGCGTTCGCCGTTGTGTACACAAGCGCTGCGGTGCACTGGGGTATTGCAATTCAACCCGTCATTGGGATGTACACATGCGATGTGGCGTATGCGTAGGGATGTGGCACATGCGCAGGTTGCTACATCAGCACGCGTGGTGAAAGCGGGCATTGCGGTGTCAACGCGCCATGTGGCAAAATCATTTCGCTACACCAACACGAAGACAAACACAGCAGGAACATTGTTTTCACGAAAAATATTCGAGTGGCCAGGCACCACTAAGTTATTTCATTTGCCAGCGAACCCACCCGCCCATCCAGCCACATAACGCGCGTTCTGCGGTTTCAAAACATCTAGGGCCCCAGAGTGTCGGCCCACGTTTTGGCGAACGACTCGCGCCAAACGCACGTCCTCGGTCCAGGTGTTTAGCTC